GAGAGCAGAGGGAGGCTTTGGGGGGTCAGAGTGGCCGATGCAAATGTGTGAGACCTTAGGAAGAGCTCCCCCCACTGCGGCCCGTCCAGTGAGTGCAGCCTCCGCATCTGTGAGACAGCGGGGGGCGGGGGCAGTGCCGCGTGTCACCCCCATTCCTCGGGCACGTGGCCTGGGAATCCCGGGCTGGAGGGTGCGGAGGGTGGGGGTCCCTGTGATCCGAGGACACACAGCAGCCCCCGCAGAACTGGAGCCAGGGAGGTTCCTGCCTCTCGGAGTTCAAGTGCGTCCATCACAAATACACGGCCTCTAGGGAGGGTGTGGGAACCCGGAAACCCTCCCTGGTCCCAGCCCCACCCACAGCCAGAGACTCCGGAGGGCGGAGTGGAGCCCCCTGGAGAGCTCCAGGGCCAGGGAAGGGGGTCGAGGCCCGCGGGGACCCTGGGACCCTTGCCCTCTGCTCTGCTACCTCGGGGACCCAGTAAGGCCCGCCTGTCCCCGGAGGCTCCAGGCCTCCAGTGCTTGGTGCGACCTTGCACTGACCCGGGCTGGGGGGAGGGGGCGCTCTCCTGCCTCCCAAACTCACACCACCTGTGCCCCTTGTGAGCGGACCCCTGCAGAGCGTGGTTAAGCCTCAGTCTGAAGGAGAATGTTCTGGAAGGACCTGGCAGGGGCAGGCAGTGGTCTGTGCCGAGGCCCTCAGCTCTGGGACCTTCGTCAGGCGGGCCCGCCTGGCGCCTGGCTCACCTGGACAGTTGTCGGCCGTGGCGGCTGCAGTGCCCAGGAGGGCGAGGGCCAGGACCACGGTTCCCATGGTAGTGGCTGCTCTGGGTGGCGGCATCCCGGGTCCCGCTGCCAAGGCGCTGGCACCTTTTATTGCTGCGTGAGCCCCGCCTCCGCTCTAGTTCCCTCCCATGTGGGCCACTTCCTCCCCAGCCCCAGGGGATGGTCCCCACCCCATGCCCTCAGCCCCCCTTCTGCAGTAGCCCCCTTCCCCTTAGTGGGACCAGATGCCCCGTGTGGGGAGGGCTGTGTGGGGAGGGCCTGCGTGTGTCTGTATTATTTTTATTAAAGATGTATTTTTATTGACTTTGGAGACGAAAGGAAGGAGAGAGCTAGAAACACCGCAATGAGAGAATCACACCCGCCCTGGGATCCAGCCCCCAACCCGCCCATGTGCCCTTGACTGGGATCGAACCTGGGACCCTTCGTTCCGCAGGCTGGCACTCTATCCACTGAGCCACACCGGCCAGGGCTGCCTGCTTGTGTCCTTAGAGAAAGCCCAGGAGCCCCCTCTCATCACCCAGTTCTGCCCAGGGGACCCCCCGGAGGGACCCCCATGATGGTAGGGGTGGCCTGGCAAGAACTCACTTGCATGCAATGGGCTGCGGAGGGTTAGAGACACCCTGGGGTCCAGGGTGGTCAGAGGGGAGGGGAGGGG